GAGGGTGTGTCTGAATCCCTCAAACCAGGGCTCTGATACCAACTTGTAACATCCCAAAATTCAAGCCCGAAAATTTCATTTTTAAATTAATAATTTTTAAAACATTTTACCATAACACTGTCAACAAAGCAACACATTACAAAATCATAAAGTCGTGTCCCAAACCATGACATCAAAAATAAGGAAAATCAGAGTACAATCCCAGAAAGTCCGATGCGGAATCAAGTGTGTGTGTGTGTGATGCGATGCTATGCCGCCGGCTCCTTCCCCTTAGACGAAGAGGTACCTGAAACCAAAACCGAAACCGTAAGCATAAAGCTTAGTGAGTTCCCCCATCATGCCACATACCATACAATATCATCGGTATCTTTCAACCGGTAATCATCATCGGTATCTTTCAACCGGTAATCATCATCGCTATCTTTCAACCGGTAATCATCATCGGTATCTTTCAACCGGTAACTGTGATCGGTATCTTTCAACCGGTAACTGGGGACTATTCCACCCCCCTACCACTAGCATACAACAACAAGATATAAACATACAGTCAGGCATATCCGGGTACTGACCTACCCTTCGGTACTAAGGACCGCTGTCAGGGAAACTAATCCCTATTATACACGTAACATATCATACAGATAAAACTCTTGACCAAAGCACGTAACCAGACCAAGATAATTATCACAAAGACAATCATCTTCTAAATAGCCCTCTTTGGTGGGCCGACATTGTGGCCTTAGACCCACCCCTACTGGAAGGTAACTCACCTCGTACGAGTAGCTGCTGATAATCTGTGCGGGAAACCTCTGTCTGCTGCTGCTCCGGAAATCCTCCGGCTACAATCCCCACAAAACACTCAGTCAGAATCTGATATCCACTCTTAGGGTAAAATGACTATTTTACCCCCAACCAAATCCAAGTCAAAGTCAACTTCCAGTTGACCCGACTCGCCGAGTTGGGCCGTCAACTCGTCGAGTCCCTTCCCTTTACTCGTCCTTATCCACGACTCGACTCGTCGAGTTTGGCAACGACTCGACGAGTTCCCCTTCTTTACGAACATCAATGAACCTTCATCCGACTCGCCGAGTCGTATGAACAACTCGTCGAGTTCACCTTCAACTGATGAACAAGTCCTGACCTTGACTCGCCGAGTTGTATGAATAACTCGTCGAGTTCATCTTCAAACATAAGGAGATTGCCTTGGACTCGCCGAGTCTGTTCTAGCACTCGTCGAGTCCCATGAACTCCAGGTCTAAAACTAAGTCCAATGCGTTGGGTCACTCTTTCTGTCCTGCTATAACCCTTCTAATACCCAACTGAGTTCTTTTGACCCTCAACAGATATGGGACTGAAAGCCTTGGACTCCTCGAGTCCCAAGAACGGATTCGCCGAGTCGATAACGTCCACACCCTAAATCCTCGATTTCTGATGTACAACACTTGACCAAATGATAGATCCAAGCCCCTAAGCTCGATCTATCACGTAAAGTTACGAACTTTACGTGCATTCATGGGACTTTTGAGCCAAAAAGGCTCTAAAATGGCTCTTTTGTTGTATGGGGCCTTCCTTGGGTGCAAAAGCAACCCAAATTTGCCTTGTCACTCTCCCCAAGTGCTAGGTCCGAAGTCTTGACCCCCAACCATGTTTTCAAATCATGGTTGGTCACCTCATATGGCTTAAAAGCCCTAATCCTCCCCAAAAAGGGATCTAACAAACAAGTAAGCAAGGTACAGACTTTATACCTTTCAAAGACTGCAAATGATGAACCAAACTCAAATCCTTCAGTTTCCTCTTGATCCTTTTATGCTCTTCCTTCTTCCTTGTGAACAAAGCCACCAAAATCACCACAAATGCCTTTAGATCTTCACACACTCGGCTAGGGTTTGCTATGGAGGGTCTTTGGGAGCAATAGGGGCGAGTGGTGGCTGAAAGAGATGATTAAATAGGGTGCAAACCCTCATATTAGGGTTTTGTCCAGTCAGAGCCTACTCGTCGAGTCTGGTCGCCGACTCGACGAGCCCATCACTTAAGTCCCGCGTCCAGTCTCACTCCTACTCGACGAGTTGGGCCTTCAAATCGCCGAGTCCTAGGCCAGAAATGCAAAATACAACAAAATAAATTACATACCAGGAACCGAGTGCTACACGACGGGAGTAAAAACCTAATTTCGAGACAATGGCTTGTGTATATAAGCCTTCGCTTTACGACTTCTCCGACGACCTCGAGCTCCGACAACCTCCTTTTACCTTTTCCTGTCGGCGACCTCGAGCTTACCTCACCTCACCTCACCGAGACCGCGATGACTGCTCAAGTGTACAGGCCTTCGTTTAAGAGCCAACCATTTACGGATCCTCGTGCCCACAAGACTATAATTTAGGGCTCGTTACATTGTGCCTATGTTGGACTTACAAAGAGATTAAAGGTTTTACGACTTCTCCTTATCGCCATCTATGAACTAATGAAGCCTTAGATAGGTACGATTGAAGTATCGTGTAAGTTAAAGGTGATAGGTAGTTCAATCTCAAAATCCAACGACTGTTTATTTCTTCAAAATCAAATGGTTCTAGCTCTTTAGCAACCAGTAATTCCGGAGAACGTTGGGCCTCCTTTTGACTATGATCTATTCCGTCATCATCTGAATGGCAATCGTCTACATCAGAATCATCCATTAGATTCACCGAAATCTGTATTTCATTCTTAATATCTGATGTCGAAGACTATCGGTTTGTCTCTTCAAAAAAAATTGGTCATTAAGGTGTACTGGAGTCGCATTTGCAGCAGGTCTGCTTGGAGCTTGCTTTCCTGGAACAGGTGCTCGTATGGTGGCACTAATCAGAGGTCCCTGCACAGAAGGCCCTGGTTTAGTAAGCCATTTTGATATCTTTTTCCATTGAATCATTTCTACTTCCCATTAAACCCAAACCTCCATCCCCCTTCAATCTTCTTTCAGATTATCTCAAAGATCTCTCAAATCCTGTTCGTTCACATAAAGATCTGGACAAAGATGCAGATCCTGTTCAGGGGATCATAGGACCTTGCACATCCTTGGATAAGGTGGAAATTTAGTCATTTACTAAATTGTTCATTAATCTTTACCAGTTTGTATATAATTTTTTTTGGCTATTTATGTTGCAGAAAGGACTTGATGTTGCAAACACACTGATAGGTCAAGGGAACACCACATCATGGAAGCTATGTGGACTTGATAAAGACACTTGTTTGACTGTTTTCTTTGATATATCATCAAGTGATAAAGATCCTTCTGGAAATGTAAATCCACAGTTGCATATACAAACCACCACAAGGTAAATCCACAGTTGTATATATTTTTCAGATTGGATCTTCACCTGGATTTGAAGATGGAGAGTTTGAATCTTCTAAAATAATCCACCCTGCTGCTTTCTTTTATCACAATGAGGATGATTCCTCTATTTTGTTGACTCAGAGGTATTCTTTTTTAAATGAATAATTACAAATATATTGATAGGCGATAGTCTTATTATGGCTTTTACTTTTCATATGATGAAAGAATCATGCTATAAGGAGAGTTGATATGGAGAGCAGGACAGTTGAGACATTATATCCGAAACCTAATGTCAGTGAGACAAAAAGTAGTTTAGTGAGTTGGATCATTGATAACCTTTGGAGTACGAATGACATTCCTTCAAATTATGAGGAAGTTGATCCTAAATTACTTTTTTACCCCTGGCATCTTCTCAAGTCACTGGAAAACGACCTCTTTATTCTCAACCGCAGGTAAACCACATTTTACATGTCATATTTTAATTAACAGGATATACTGTTAAGTGTTATGTGTTAATCTCCTATATAATGTTTTCATGTCGTTTTGAAACTTTATGGATCTTGGATCTGTCATCTGGTATCATTAAAGAAGTGGTCAAAGGTTTGACTTCTATTATCTGGATGATGATCTTTTAACATTTGCAATTAATTATCTCGTTAATTATTAATCGTTTATGCTGTGAAGGATCTGCAAAGATTATAAAGATCTGTGGACAGTTGATAAAGGTGAAATTATCCTTTGTAAAAGAAATACCGCCTAGTCAGCTTCCACAAAATGATTTCTCGGTGGAGGGTATTTCACATGCGGGTCTACTCTTTTCCGTGGCAACTTTTCGGGACAATATCGTAATTTGTGACACATGTAAAATTAAATATTTTCTTTTTCTTTTAATTGACGAACTACAATATCCTCTAAGCAACGAGAGTGGTTAGATGGTTAGGTGGTGCTGAAATACAACAAAACTTGTGACTCAATGACAAGCTTCGAGTTCTCAAATTTTGGATTGCTATACTGGTTGGTCCCCACTATGGAATCAGCTTATGCTGCGTGAGTAATCTTATTCTATTTCTACAACCCATTACCCGACCTCACCCGTTTAGGACACTCATGTATGTATACCTTTTTCTACCGATGTGATAGTGGTTTTGGTGTCGCGGGACTTCCTGTGGATCATATTCAACATTTCAGCTTGTTACAAGGTAATTAATTAACTGTCTCTTTCTACATGCTCTTTCACTTCACCATTGTATCTATTTTTCTTTACTAAAAACAATATTAGGTAAAAGCATGGTGTGGTGTTATGAAACAAACAGGCAGGACAAACATATAGATGAAAGTAGAAATCCCTCATACACTTTAATCTGTTTGAGCTTGTGGAGCTGCCACTGCCACCCATATTAATCTGTTTGAGCTATATATATATATATATATATATATATATATATATATATATATATATATATATATATATATATATATATATATAGCCCCAACATGAGCGAGGAGCTGCTAATGGCATTTCAATGACACCCATTTTCTCGATGATCTTCGCCTAAACAATCCATGGCATGAACTTAAAAAGTCAGTTTTTGACTTTCAAGGTTTACTCTAAATTACCAAGTTACCCTTTCAGTATTGTAAGTTTGTAACATTTTTGCTTTTTAGGAACTAATAAAAGCAAAAACAATCGCACCTGATGAAGATAATTATAAAGAAGCCATTGAGGCCTCTTTTAAAGTTTTTGCTCCTCAAGGAATCAGTAAGTAGCCATTTTATATAAAGTGTTTATATAAGGTTTTGATATTTTTTTTTTTGGTGTTTATATAAAGTGTTATTGTGATGGGGTGTTTGTGTTTGTGCTTGTGCTTGTTATTGTGATGGGCAAATTTGCTGCTACTGTGGGACCTGAACCTACCAAGTAACTATATTTTTCATTTTAATAAATAAATTTTGAATCTACAAAATCCATTTTAGATAATCATTTGCTGAATATATATGTTGTTGTGAATCGTGAATATAGAACGGATTTGGTTCCAGCATATGTTCGGCTACTTAGAGACAATGAAGTAGAAGTACGTATTACAGCTGCTGGAAAAGTCACCAAATTCTCCCGTATTCTTAGTCCAGAACTTGCAATTCAGCATATTCTTCCATGTGTCAAGGCTTTTTTTTCATAAAAAAAAACTTAAAAAAATTTGGTTATCTAACTTTTTCTCATAATGATATGTGATATGTAGGAGTTGTCTTCAGATTCTTCTCAGCATGTTAGATCTGCTCTGGCCTCTGTTTTTCTCATCAACACTGAAAAGCATACCATGAGCATATGTAATCTGCTGCATCAAAAAAGCTTAAAGCAATCAACAATCTCATGAACACTGCAAGTCAGCACTGGGATTTAAAAAATAAATATATCACAAGGCAATTTTTTTCATTGTACTATTGATTTTGGGCTTTGGTTATTGTTCTCTCCTTTAAGATTCTAATTCTATTGTTCAGGCTTCAAAAGTCAACCAACCGCATATATATGGAAGTGGAAAAGGGGAATGGACCAGGTTCGTAGCTAAATCATCTTTCTGTTGAATTTAAATATGCTTCAATAGTAACAAAGATATGTAGAAACAAAGCCAATGAAACACCTCGACATTAAATACATTCTTAAACGTTTAATGATGAATGACTTCAAAAATCATAAATCATGAAGAAAATGATGGATGACTTCAAGAATCAGAAATCCTTACATAAACGGTATACATATTACATATATACTTCTTATCAAAATATTTAATTTTTGATTGCTATCAATTCAATATCATACTCTATCTTCTCTTAGTTTTAATGTTATTGTTGTTGGTATGCTTTTCAGTTTGTCATGCAAACAAGGGACATTCTAATGGATTTGCATTCTCTTGTTGATGTAAAAGTTCCATATGGAAAACACTTCATAGTTTGTGTTGATGTACATGGTCAGGTAAACAATTTCTAAAAAATGTTTGAGAAAATGAATGAAAAAGTACCATTTTGTATCTTTTTTTCTTTTCTGATGAACCACTTTATATGAATGCAGTTTTTTTATTTGCTAAACATCTTTGCACTCAATGGTCTTCCCTCTGATGAAAATCCATATTTGTTTAATGGTGATTTTGTTGATCAGTGGTCTTTCTCTGTTGAGGTTATTCTTACACTTTTTGCATTCAAGTGTATGTCTCCATCAGGTAATTAATTTTGATCATGTATCTTTATTGATATTAAACACTACTATAGATTATAGAATCCTGATACATTAGTAATAATCATTTTTTTAATGTTTTCAGCTATTAAACACTACTATAGAAGAAGAGGACCCTGTTGTGTTTACGGGCGACACACTGGTGGGTGTATCTTGTAATTTCTTGATGTATATTTTGGGCTAAATGGTACTTTCATTTTTTTTCTGATGATGTATTTTTTTTGGTAGTTTGTTGTTGGTTGTGGCAGTTTTTTGAGGGGACAGTAGGACAGATGCATGAGTCACTGTGTGTGACTTTGGCTTCTTTGCCAAAACCAACGAAATTTACTGCGATCTGATCTACCTCAACTTCAGGTACTCTTGTTGTTTTTGACTTTTTTCATATAGTTTGGAACAAGAAATGTCTTATTTCGACTTCAATTATAATGCAGGAGAAAGTTGGACATCATGACAGTTGTATGCTCCTTTTATGTTCAATTTTCCCTTTCTTTCTTTCTTATCTTTTTATTTTTTATAATATAACAGTTGTGTTATTTCAGCTTAAATCCCTACATTATACATTTGCTTAATTAGGTTTGTATAAAACCTGTGGTTGCAGGAATCCCTTAAGAAGTGTTGTAGCCAACGTGTTTTCCTTGTATGGTTCATTGGTGTAAGAAACATCCGCTCACCCTTTTGGTGGTTGGCCGGTCCTTAAATGGGAAACATCTCTACTATTGGTAAATTTTATCCACTTGAATAACTTCCAACTTCTAACAATCTGACTACATTTCTTAATGGAACCCGGAACACCACAAAGTCATCTGCTATCGATACACACTTGTGCAAATATTTTCAATGCAGAGCAGGTTTTAATGGAACCCGGAACACCACATGGATCAAATATCATATCTCAAGTGCGGTTCCACATTCTTTGGATGGAGAAAAGGGTAATTTCGTCTTTTACAACTAACATTCCATGTTTGATTCTTCTAATAATTATATTAGCATATTGATATTTTGACTTTTATTTGATCAGGTCACAAGAATTATCAGAGCAGGGGTTCATTAGTCTTAAAGAATTATGAAAGGCAAGATGCAACTCTACTTAGTTGGAATTTGATGTTTATCATCTTTTTGTATATCTTTTTAGTTTGTATAGCGTTACATTACAGAAGGTGTTCCTTAATAGCAATATAGTATTAGGTTATATAGTTAGGGAAAACCTCTTAATAACAATGTACAATTAGATCCCCTTAATATCAATGTATTACAATTTTTTGACATGATGTTATTGGATGAAATTGATTGTTTTGGTATATATTTGTTTACATATTTTTGTATTATACATAAATGAGTATCGTAAAGACGCGTCGTAAATGCATATTGAAAATGGTTACTGAAGTTTATGACACGCAAATGCGTGTCATCTTCATTTATGGCAGGGGCTTCCTTTATACGCATTGTGTGCCATAAACACGCACGTCGTAAGGTTACGACACGCAAATGCGTGTCGTCTTCCTTTATGACAGGGCCTTCCTTGATACACATTGTGTGTCATAACTGCGCGTCGTAAATGTGTGTCATAAATGTGCGTCGTAAATGCGCGTCGTAAATAGACGACACGCAAAAGCGTGTCGTCTCTCGTTATGACAGGGCCTTCCTTGACACGCATTTACACGTCGTCTGAGCGTTTTTCGACACGCATTGCGCGTCGTAAAAGGCTGTTTTTCTAGTAGTGCATAATAGACTTGGTCATCCCTCTGATCAAGCTTTAAGTTCTTTAAAAAACAAACTTAAATTTGGTAATGAAGTCCTTCCACCTTGTGATATATGTCATAAAGCTAAACTTGGTGAGTCAGTTCATCTAGATGTTTGGGGACTTTATAGAGTGACAACCACATAAGGATTCAGGTATTTTTTTTTACCATTGTGGATGATTATACTAGAGCAACTTGGGTTTATCTATTAAAATCAAAAGATGAAGTTTATGATTGTGTTCTTGTTCTCTTTAATATTTTGCTTAATTAGTTTGGTGTTAAAATCAAAATTGTTAGGTCAGATAATGTAACTGAGATTTTGAATCATAGAATGAGAAAATTAATGGAGTCAAAAGGTAATTTGCATCAAACATCTTGTGTTCATACTCCACAACAAAATGGAGTTGTGGAGAGGAAACACAGACATATTTTAAATGTTGTCAGACCTTTTAATGTTCCAATCTGGTTTACCTCTTAAATACCGGGGAAAAGCAATTTTAACTTTTGTGTTTTTAATTAATAGAACTCCTACATCTGTTTTAAATGGTGCTTCTCCTTATGAGCTTGTTTATAATAATGCTCATGTTTTTGATAAAATTAGGGTTTTTGGTTGTTTGTGTTTTGCAAATAAATTGAATAATCCTGATAAGTTTTCTAGAAAGAGCTAATAAGTGCATATATCTTGGTTACTCTTTTGATAAAAAAGGTTATAAAGTTCTGAGTCTTGATTCAAATCTTGTTTTTGTTTCCAGGGATATAAAATTTTATGAATCAGTGTTTCCTTTCAAGCTAAAGTCTTCATCTTTGACTGATAAATCTAACGTCCCTTTAAGTGATCTCTTTTCCTATGATGCGTCATTGCATTCTAGTACTCTTCTTGATAATACTAATTTAGAGAATTTGAGAAGTGTCAATCAGTCGGATGGTGCTAGTGCAGACCAGGACTTTGATGAGATGTGTCCTTTTGATGTCAACAACTAGACTGGTGAGGCACACGTGCCTTCTTCTGGTGTGATGTTTCCAAGTTCCTCTACTTTGACTGAGGAAACTGATTCAATTAATACTAATCCTTCTGATGGCCAGTCTTCTAAGGTCACTAGGTCTTGACGTAATATTCACATGCCAGTAGGTTCAGTGATTATGGTGTGGAGGGAAAACACAAATATGGTATTGAAAGATTTGTTAACTATTCAACTCTTAATAATGAGAATCTTTGTTTTGTTGCTAATCTTAATAAAACTGTTGAACCCAAAAGTTATAATGAAGCTGCTTTAGATCCAAACTGGATAAAAGCAATGAATGAGGAAATGGAAGCTCTCTATAGAAATAACACTTTGGAAATCACTAATCTTCCTAAAGGAAGAAAGGCTATTATTTGTCGTTGGATTTATAAGATTAAATATAAATCAAACGGTGAAATAAAAAGGTATAAGGCTAGGTTGGTTGCTAAAAGGTACAATCAAAGAGAAGGGATCAATTATGAGGAGACATTCTCTCCAGTTGCTAAAATTGTTACTATTAGAATTTGTCTTTCTTTGGCTATTCATCATTCTTGGTCTTTATATCAACTTGACATAAACAATGCCTTTTTATATGGTGATTTATCTGAAAGTTTTTACATGCAACTTCCTGAAGGATATCATTCTAAGAATGATGTCAGAGTTTGTAAGTTAATTAAGCCTATTTATGGACTTAAGCAAGCTCCCAGGTTGTGGAATGAGAAATTAAGTTGTTCACTTTCTTCATTTGGTTTTAAACAAAGTATTAATGATTACTCATTATTTGTTAAAGAAGTTAAAATTACTATTGTCATTCTATTAGTTTATGTGGATGATATTATTATCACTAGTAATTGCAAGATTGAATTGGAAAATGTTAAGAGTTTTTTAAAATCACAATTTTTAATTAAAGATTTAGGAGAGTTAAAATATTTTCTTGGAATTGAGGTAATAACAACAGATAAAGGAATTTGTCTTAATCAAAGAAAATATTGTTTGAAATTGTTGCATGAGTTTGGAATGTTGGCTTGTAAACCTGTTAAGACTCATTTGGAAGCCAATCTTGTTATTAGAAAGGAATGTGATTTAGATAGTTCTGATTATGTGGTAAATATTACTGAATTTCAGAAATTGATTGGTAAATTGATTTACTTGACTATGACTCGTCCTGATATTTCATATGCAGTTCAAATTTTAAGTCAATATATGCACAAACCTTATAAGTCACATTTAAACATAGCTTTTAGACTATTGAGATATTTGAAAGATAGTCTAGGAAAAGAAGTTCATATAACTAAAAATAATTCTCTTAGTCTTGTGGGTTTTGTTGATGCTGATTGGGCTAAATGTCTATTCAGTAGAAGGTCTGTTATAGGATATCTTGTTTACTTTGTTGGTTCACTTGTATCCTGGAAAAGCAATAAACAAAGTAATGTTTCTCATTCTTCCACTGAGTCTGAATATAGAGCTTTAGGCTCTGTAACCTGTGAAATTGTTTGGATTTTAAAATTACTTTTTGATTTTAGGAATAAAAGGTTTAACTCCAGTAAATGTTTTTTGTGATAATGAATATGCTAATAAACTAGTGTTAAATCCTGTTTTTCATGAGAAAACTAAACATTTTGAGGTAGATCTTCATTTTGTTAGAGAAAAAGTTGAAAATGGTGTTTTAAAAGTTAATAAAATTGATTCTTTAAATAAAATGTTGATGTTTTAACCAAAGCTCTTGGATCTGCTCAACATGAATATATTTATAATAGACTTGGTTTAATAGATGTTTTAAAAAAATAAATGTTTGAATTAATGTTCAGTTTGTGGGGGGTGTTGAAAATATACTCTTAAACTTACAAACTGAAATTAATTCGTGTATTGGGTAAATAATGTAAATATGTAGTTTTTGTGTGGGTTAAGTTGTAATTTATTCAGGTGTGTCAGGTTTGCACGCGGGTCTTCGGATGCTCCATGGAGCTCTGTGTGATTCAGGTTTACCCGATGTATATAATGTTGAAGCAGAGATATTTTATCTCATTCAGTCGTTCACCTCTGATCTTTTCTTCTCTCTGAGTACTGTACTTATGGTTTGAGTTAGGGTTTGTAGATTGGAAGCTTGTTCTTATGATTTAATATTGTTTCCGATATATGTTTGAGTGTAAGTGATTGTTTGTAGTGAGATTTTATGTTGTATTTTGTATATGTAAACCATTTGTATCATAGTGAATGAATTAATGATGTTGGGAAAATCTTGAGTTGTTTACGTTTTTAAGAAAGTTGATGATGAATATTTGATGATCGACTATATATTAAAGACTGAGAAGGTGGGATCTGTTGGTGATTTTATATCATCAATATTATTTAAGTGTAATAGGATTAAAATTGTTGACCAAAAGTGATATTGTTGAATATTGAACAAGTTAGGATGGTGTAGGAGTGCACACTTGTTCAAGTTTTTCAAGATTCAAAGTATATTGTTATTTAGGGGCGAAGCCCCTAAACGAATGGGGGTCCGGGGGCAGCGCCCCTGGGAGCGGGGTCACAGGGGCGGCAGCCCCTGGCGGGGTCCAAGGGTCAGAGCCCCTGACTGGTTTGGAAAGTTGACCCTTT